CACTTTTGCATTCCCATGGCTTTAGTGCAGTGCCTGGCACAAACTAGGTACTCAGTATACAGTTGTTGAGGGCTGGATCTTTACTTTTACTTGACAGGAGCCTATTAATTGGTCCCATATTGCACTAGGTAAGGGCCCAGGTCAACTTATTCTTGGTCCTGAAAAGAGAGTTCAAAGGATCCTAAGTATACCATAGAAAACTAATTTGAAAAGTTAGGGCTGCTTCTTGCCCTAGAAAATCACTAATCTAGAAATGAGTTGTTATTGTCCGAATGTGGTTAACCCATTAAGGCCGAAGTTCGACCACTTCAAGACAGAATGTGTTACGTAAGACAAGGACAGACTGGCTATGGAGGGAAGGGAGAGGATTCAAGGTGTCAGGAGGCCAGGAAAGCTTCAATCTGATCTGGTGTTAAACACAAGGCCCTGGACTTCAGAGCCCCTGCAAATATGTGGTAACTAGAGTATAATGAACAACATTGTGAAAAGAGCACCCAACTGCAAAACCAGAGGAGGAGTCTAGAATGGAGAAGATGACCCAGATAATGAATTCAGCAGAATAGAATCCACTACACAAACATTCAACTTTTTTAGTTTCCTTGTCCTTTCCATGATAATCATTCTTGTTTTGAAATCTGTTTGTCATTCATTTAGCAGAGTATTGGCCTAAGCATATATGTTTATGTGTGTATATGTACATGTATGTACATATATATGGATATATCTTATATGCAGTTGACCCTTGAACAATGTGGGGACTAGAGTCAGTGAACCCCATGCAGTCAAAAATCCACATATAACTTTTGGCTCCCTTAAGTCTTAATGACTAATACCTTACTGTTGACCAGAAACCTTACTGATAACATAAGTTGATTAACGCATATTTTGTATGCTATATATATTATACACTGTATTCTTACAATAAATTTAGCTAGAGAAAACACTGTTAAGAATATCATAAGGAAGAGACAAATACATTTATAGTACTGTATTGCATTTATCGAAAAAAAATCTGCATGTAAGTGGACCCATGTAGTTCAAACCCATGCTGTCCAAGGGTCAATTGTATATATGAGATTTATCCACATATACATATTAAAATATAAATCTTTTAAATATGAATATACAAAATATAATCTTTTAAAAAATTCTCACAATCCTCTTTGATAAAGCTCCTCTCTAAAGATCATGAAACAGGGGATAAATTAAGAACCATGTTAAAGCTTACATAACTCAGCAAGTGTAGAACTGAGTGTGAACTTTAGGACTCTCAGAGTACTAGAACTTTCAGGACTCTACAGCCTGTGTTCTCAACCATAATGCCAGTGCCACACCAAATGCCAGGCAGTGGAAGTCATGACTTACTTTTTAACCAGACTGCAAGACCACTTGTCCTACTATTTACTTTTCTTTACATATACTTACTTTGTAACTTAAGTGGATTTCTCAGTATCTATGAAATCATCAGATTGATATGATAGTTGTATTTTCTAGTAGTCATGATCATACATAACTAATTTTGGAAGTGAAAAAAATCCACATAGTGCTTAGAAGCACCTTGACTACCACCCCAGTGGTGTGCCTACCATGCTCTGGGAGCCCCACATTATTCTATCCTGAACCATGTTTTTCAGTCTTCGTAGTGGATAAGAGGCATTATAGAAATGGAACTAAACAATGTATGATTTAATAAGAGCTGCCTGCTGGTTGGTGTTTTTCTGAGGGTGTTTTGAAAGCTGGCCGCTTCCTACCCCAGAGGTGGCTACACTTCAGTGACAAGAGGCAAAAGGGTCCCAGTTTGTACCATCAGTTCAGTGCTTAAGGCAGTTTGGTTGAAAAGAACTATATTGGTATCAGTGATCATCATTCTCATGATGACAATGATTATTTTACATATGGCTGCTTTAAGGGTGAATGGCACAGTCTCATTTGTATGCCAGCATCTGGCAGGCTGTCACACATCTGCAGAATATAACCTAAATTGTGCTATTAATATTTCCGCTTTGCATTCTCCCCAAGGCATCTGTCTCCCAAAATGCCTAAAGAAACCCCCCTCCCTCTTGAAGGCCTAGAGGCAAATCCAGAAAACATGTCACCTAGACTGGGGACAGCAGGTGCTCAGAGTGACAGCAGCTGAGACTGAACAGATTCCTGGCTCTTGGAAAAGATATAAAGGGAGATAGGGAACCACAACCCATATTCATTCTATTAGCAGCTGTACTTCCAGGCAAAATCTGTAGGCAGGTTCTCCGAGGCTCAGTTAGTAGGTAGAGTCTGCTCTGTGAACAACAAGAGGTGCCAGTCATGGTCCTGAGGGTGAGGTCTTAGTGCCTCGATCACTGCCATTGCTTGCTTAAAGCTGCCTTCCTTAGAATGCCTTGGCAAACCAAGAAATAGACTCTTAGGTACAGAGAAAAAAGTAATGGTTACTGGAGGGGAAGTGGGTGTGGGATGGGTGAAATAGGTGACGGGAATTAAGGAGCGCACTTCTGATGAGCACTGGGTGTTGTATGGAAGTGCTGAATCACCATATTGTACATCTGAAACTAATATTATACTGTAAGTTAACTAACTGGAATTTAAATACAAACTTAAAAAAAAAAAAAAGCCTTGGCAACTATCAAGCACTCTTCTTGGTGGAGACGAGCTAGCTGTGTACCAAAACCAGGTCAAATTTTTTTTTTAACATGCATAACTATACTATGTCTCCCAGCCTGTTTTGCAGTTAGACGTAGCCATGTGACTGACTTCTAACCAATGGAATTCATGCTATTTTAGGGCCTGGCCTAAAAGAGCCTCCTGTGTGTGGTTCTCTACAATCTTTCCTTTTGCTGTCCTGACTGCAGGTAAGGTTGGTGACAGTGGGGAGCTGCAGGATGGAAGGACCTATTTCTCTGATTCACAGTTTGGAGGAGGTTGCTTGCTGGTGGGGATCATCATACTGGACTTTATAATAATAGAAATCATCTTTTATGTGTTTGAGCCACTAGGTGGTCTATTTTTAACAAAACATTCAGAGCTTTACTATAACCAATGTACTCTTTAAGTGAAATTTCCTGCTTAGATTTCATGATCACTGGGGCACCTCGGTGGCTCAGTTGGTTAAGCATCCGACTCTTGGTTTTGGCTCAGGTCATGATCTCGGGGTTGTGAGATTGAGCCCTGTGTCAGACTCCCCGCTCAGTAGGGAGTCTACTTGTTCCTCTCCCTCTGCCCCTCCCCCACTTCATTCTCTCTCTCTCATTAAATAAATAAATCTTATAAAAAGAATTTCATGATCAATTGTCTACTGGATAGTTCCACTTCAGTGATCTATCGCACTTCAAACTTGACCTGCCTAACCAAATTGGTATTTTCTGTATCTCAGAATGTTCTAGGTACTCAGATACAAGAATGGGTCATACAAAGTCCCTTCTCTCATAGAATTTACATTTGAATATGGGGAAATCTAAAATACACACACACAAAATTTCAAATAGTGATACGCGCTGTGAAGATAAGAGGGCTAGAGGGCTATTGGTGGCTACTTGGCAGTTAATGGGAAAATGGCCTCTGAGGAGGTGACATTACATTGAAGTTTGAATGATGACATGTATTTAGCCATGTGAACTCCGGGGACAGAGTATTCCAGAAAGAGGGGACAGCAAATATAAAGAAGAGACATAAGAACAAGGTTTATCTAGGAACAGATAAAGAGGTGAGTCAGCTGAAGCAGAGTGACTTCAGGGAGAGTGATATGATAGGATATCAAAGAGGAAGGAAGGGCCCAGATTGTGGAGAATCTTATAGTTCAAGGTAAAGAACTTGGATTTTATTCTAAATTCATTGGGAAGCTACGAGAGTGTCTTAAGCAGGGGAAGAATGAAAACTAAATTAAATACGGAAAGGTCCACTCTGTTATGGGAACATGAACTATGTAGAAGATCAAGAAAAAAGGGAGACTAAGCAGATTATTGCAGTCATGCGGATGAGGGGACAGTGGCCTATGCTTGTGTAGGGTAGCAGGAGTGGAGAGGAAGAGAGAGCAAGGAGCTGATTCGAGATACACTTCAGACTAAGCATTAGTGGGGCTCATAGACTGGGTCGGGGGTAGGGAGGCTGGTGAGTGAGAGAAAAAAATCCATACTGACTCCTAGGTCAGGTGCTCAGCTGCCTGGGTAGAGAACTCATTACCTGAGAATGGGAATTCAAGTGAGGAGTCAGGAGAGGTAGTGAATAAATGACCCATCTGTATTATGAAACAGAGGGTCATTATAATGGAATTAGAATGTTGGCTCAGACACTCATTCAATAATTTTCTTGATGTCGCTGGATTTCTAGCTATTAGTAATATTTACATTAGGGGGGTTGTTATATCAAATATACCTTTGGTGTATGGGGACTAGAAGGAAGCATTATGGGGATGTGAGGATTGCTAATAAAGTTTGGTTTCTTGATCTGGATGCTGGTTACACAGATGTGCTTTGTGGAAATTCATCAAGCTGTAAAATTATGATATGTGTACTTCTCAAAATGAGATTCAATGCATGAAGTTCCTGTTGTAGTGCTTGGAATTCAATAAATGGCAGCCAGTATTATTTTCACCATGCTGATACAATGAAAACCATCTCATGTGTACCTGCGGTCCATGCTGCCCATATAGGCCATTTACAAATCCCTTCACCAGAGGAAGGAACCCTAACTGAATTCTGGGGTCTTATCTTATAGTTGATACAGTTGCAACTGACTTGACTCCATGACACACAAATGCCTCTGTGCAAATGAACTGACTCCGAGTTCCAGCCCAGAGGTAGTCCTGGACCACTACGTCAATAAGTGATTCTCTAAGTTTGTTAGGATGAAGGATGGATGTCAACATAATTTAAAAGGGAACAGTCCTCCACAAGCACTAGGAGTTGTGGTAGCGATGGCTTCTTTCTCTTCTACACCCCCCCAAGTCTGCTCATACCTGAATACTTATGATTCAAGCCAACTGGCTATTCGCCCCCAGGAAAGGATACTAAAACTTTGATTGGTTATTTCAAAGTTCCAGAGGTTAATCCTCAGGTCATCAGCTGACATGTAGGTCTCATAGTCGCTGTTGACTGATATAGAGTTGATGTGATATGTGTGTGCATTGGCAAACACTCTTCGCGGGGTGGCCTCCACCATCAGGTCCATGGGTCTCAGGACAGGCACCTGGGATGGAAGAGAAACAAATCACTTCAGAACCAAAGCTCTTCACCAGGGAAGAAGTGTGCATGTTTATGTCCTTCACCATCAGACACAAAATCATAACCATAGTTAAAAAGCTTGAAGTTAGAGAAGTAGACTGATAAATCCCATGTTCCTGTCTCCTCTGTTCCTTTTAGTTTTATTTTATTTTTTTGTCTATTCCTTCCAGTTTTACTTCCTTCTCAAAAGATGTCACCATCACTTAGCCCTCATGGGCAATTTCATCCTTTATAGACTCTGAACTTTTTTTCCTCTTTGAGGTGGCCTCATCCTGGGGAAACTGAACTTAGAATCTACTGTGCTGTCATTAGCTTCCAGAGCTGTTGGTTCCAGGCAGCTTGCTTGTTTGTTTTAAACAAGAAGTATAGTTTAAAAACGAAGTTGTGGGCAAATTTTAGAAATATCTAGTTCAACTTTGACCTACTACATTTATACTGCAGGGCTTAGGAGGTCTAGACCCCATCCAGGCTTTTTCTTCAATCTTTAAGGGCATTTTGGGAAAATATATAACCACCCAAGATTCTAAGAGCCCAAATTCAGCCGTTAGTACATAGGGTACTCACTGATATCCTGTTTTACCTGGGAAAATCTTGGTTTATACCTGTTGTCTTCGTGTACCAACCACATAATATCCACTTTCACATCAAAACTGTCCTAGTTTGGACAATAAAGTATATGGTTATCTTATTGATATATAAAGTGTGATATATCAGTGATTATTTGTTGAATGAGTAAATAAGAATATTTGAGCAAATGTTTTCTTCCCCACGGGTCAAAGAATCAGGCAGTGAAAATCGATTCCCACACACGAAGCTCTTCTTGGCAAACATGAACAAAGACCCACCACTCTTTTGATGCCCTCTTTGAATTCAAGGGCACTTCTGACTACACCTGGGTGAAGTGGCTCCTGAGAAAGTGAGAAAGAACACCAATGCCTGCCTGACAGGGGACAGACTAAAAACAAAACAAACCCAAAACACAGATGTGGTCCTTTACCAGAAACAAGAAAATAAAAGGACCAAAAGCTATTTCCCTTTTAAGGAAGTCATCTCTTGCAACTGAGCTGACTTGCTGACTGATTTGCTTCCAGGTGGTCGATTAAGACTTCAACTTCTAGATTTGTTTTAACCCAGGGGGTGATGGGAAGAGGGCAGAAACAAAGGTTACATTTGTATACATGTGAAGTATACTCATCTCAACAGTATAACCTCTTATAAAACAGAATTCTCCCAGTTTAGTCTTTTTTTTTTTAAGATTTTATTTATTTATGTGACAGAGAGAGACACAGTGAGAGAGGGAACACAAGCAGGGGGAGTGGGAGAGGGAGAAGCAGGCTTCCCGCCGAGCAGGGAGCCCGATGCGGGGCTCGATCCCAGGACCCTGGGACCGTGACCTGAGCTGAAGGCAGACGCTTCACGACTGAGCCACCCAGGCGCCCCTCTCCTAGTTCGTCTTGAAGGAGCTTAGCTCCCTCAAACTTTTGAGAGGTTTTAAGTTAAATAATTCAGAAGAATCAGAGTACTGAATTGCTGTGGCACCAGATAGGTGATGTGAATGTAGGAAGAACCAGGGATCCTCTGAACACCAGGAAAGGGATGGGAGGGAAAGTCTTTGTGAGCTCTCCACCCCATCCATAATTGTATGGATAATGGTTTTAGAGCATAAGCGCAGGGATGGCAAGAACTGCAAGACCTGGGTTCTCATCACAGACTCATGACATACATAAAGGCTGTGTGACCATGGGTGATTAACCTTCCCCTCTGGGCTCTCGGGATACTATCTGAAAAACCAGTGAAACCCACTGTGCCCTCGTTATCAGGAAGGGTAGTTGGGATCTGTGGAGATAGTATGTCCTCTGGTTCACCCTCCTTCTCGTCCTTTCAGAAACATTTATTGGGCTATATACAAGGTTCTGGGGCAGTGGTAGAGCATTTGACTGCAAGGTCTGGGGAGGATCCAATTGGTGAGCAAAACAAGGTATTTCCTGCCTTCAACCAGCTGGTCTAGATGGAGGAGGTAGACATGAAGCCATGTCATAATAAAATGCAGTAAGTGCCCCAAAGGAGAGGATATCGTGCAAGGGGGGATTCAACATGGTCAGGGAGTCCTAGAGAGCTGTTGCTGAGAAGTATGGGATGGATGACTGTGAAGGATGAAAAGATGTTTACTGGTCCGGGAGGGGGAGGGAAGAATGTTCCAGTTGGAGAAAATAGCACGTGCAAAGGTCCTATGGTGGGGGTAGGGCAAGAACGGAGGGCTGATAGGTCAGTGTGGGTGAGACAGAAGGAGGGATGGGAACCATGGTTAAGAGATGAAGTAACAGGATAGGTCATACACAAGCCCCACCAACAAAAGATTTTTGCCATTATCCTTAGAGAAATGGGCCGAAATAAAACGATTTTCAATGACTGTGGTATGACCAAAGTTTTGACGAGATCATTCCTGATGTACAGTGGAGTACAGGTTAGAGGACAAATGAAGTAAAAATTTGGAAAGGAAGGTTGATACACTATCGAACACCAATGAAGGGTGCATTTGAGTCAAGACTTTGTAATGGATTAAAAAAAGAAAAAGTGTCTCTGCTCTTGGGAATTCTCCCCGCAAATATTTATTGGGCATTTACTCCTCTGTGTCAATCATTCTTCATACATCGTCTCTGGGAATTGTTTCAACAGCTCCGTGAAATAGGTACTAATGTGAATACTATTACAAAGAGAAAGCTCAGGTTCAGAGAGGCTCAGTCACTGGCCCAGGGCTGCCCAGCTCAGGAGGCTGTCTGAAAAAAGCTATTTCCCTTTCAAGGAAGGGAAAGGTTTATCTGGGCTCTGAGGCATCGTCAGAATTTAATACGAGAGCCTACCTGACTGCAAAGCTGGTGCTCCTTCCACTGTCTCCCACCACACTCCTATATCATACATGGCAGGAAGTGATAAATGCTCCATTTGTGACATGAATAAACTGCACTAGTATTTAGGGAACTGATAGTATTACTGATAATAACAACTAGTGGTAGTTAAGCTGCCTCTAGAAACCTCTATTAGGTGTTGTAGGTGTCCTGGTATTTGAATGGGGGGACTCCTCTGTGTGCTTTTAAAAACACATGCCACGCTTTTGTAGTCTGTCATAAAGGAACTCCCCACCTGGTGCTTTTGAGGGCTACCTGTGCTTCCTCTGTCCCCCCCCCCAGAGGTAGCAGAGCTACCCAGGGGCTCCCCAGGGCCACAGAAGAAGTGCAATCTGCAAGGACTTCCTGGGGCTCCTTCTACACTCCTCCCTGAGCCTCCTTCATTACTGCACACCGTCTGCAGAGGCTTCCCATGGCTGTGGTGACAGGGAGGGAGCATGACAGCCAGGATCAAGAGGCATTACAAAGTGGGAACTGCCAGCCCAGAGCGTCAGCTTAACGTGATGGGCCTGCCTGCTAATTCAGGCTGACATATTCCATGATGTACCACTTAATGGGGAAGGCTCCGTGGAGGTGTCTGTGGAGGGAGCCTCTAACGCTTTCCCCAGATAAGGCAGAGGGATGAATGTTATTCACGCCAGTCCAGCACCATTCCATGCCCAGGTCAAGGCCTGTCCACTGCCTAATGATGCCCCTCACAGGAAGAGGTCTGGTTCAAGCTGGACAGCATGACGGATCAGGAAGCCCAGCTGGGACTGTATTTGGCAACTGCTCTGGCTACCTACCTACTGCCTTCTGGGCCAGGCAGGGAGAAGGGTGGGACACCATGCTCTGAGTTGGGCCCACCGGCACTCATTAGGTCTTTCTCTGTATGGCATTCATGGAGGGCTTCTGTGCCCTGTGCCTGTTACTGTGTTAGAGCCCCCCTGCCCTGAGTCCAGGACTCTGCTTCATTCAGCCCTCGGCCTTCTCAGGGCAAAGGCCTGGGGAAGATTCTTCTGTCTGCCCACTTCTTAGGGGAGGTTCAGGGAGGTGAAGTATCCTGTCCACGGTCACACGGAGAGTAAGCCGAGGGGCTGAACTGAGGCAATTTGGTTCCTGAGTGAGCACACCACTGCAGATGAAACTATTAGAAGGAAATATGAAATTGCCATTTTTGCAGGTCAAAAATCATCAAATCTCCATAATTGCATACGGTTCAGCCTAATACTTTGGAAGAACTCTGTGCTATGGAGATGTGACACTGACTCATGGAACAATGAATCTTGGAAAGACTCTTAGAGCCTTTCTCAAGGACCATTCTGTGTGTGTGCGCACGTGTGCATACGGGTGCATACGTGCGTGAGTGGGTGTGATGGGGATGGGAATTTAATGAGAGGCTGTGACTGGCTAGGTTTTACCTCCTTCATCACTCTTGGCAGTACATTGGGATTCTCAATCATATCTTGCTTAAATAAATTTTTTCTGTGAATAAGGAAAGTTTAAAAACAACTGGCCCAAGCAGTACCTACAATGTGCAGATGAGGGACTCAAGACCTGCAGGGGTGAAATGCCTTGTCCAGTCACCCAGGTAAGGGCTGCCAGCACAGTCTGGGTTTCTATCTTCCATTCTACAGCTTCCTCTGCCCCCAAACATGTGCCTGAACCATTCTCCACAGGACCAGAACCCCCTTCCTGCCAAAAGTCAGAAGGAAAACTGGACAAAACTCAGGTTCAAGCCAGGACCTTTTAGTTTGTAGTTCAAAGCCTCTTTTCTGAGCCATGTTGGCAGTGGTGGATGAGGCTAAAATCAACTCTGAGACCAGGCCTCTGCTGCATTGTGCTTGTAATGAGAAGAGCATCCTTGGCCCTCAGAGGGTGCAAGTGGGTCCGCAGTGTGCTGCTGGACTTCCCTCACGTCCCTCCCTCAGATGCTTCCTATTCTCCGCACCTGGATTCAGTTTCCCCTCATCCCCTTGAGCCTGGTTTCAAAGGAGAAACACACGAGCCCAGTCAGCAAGACAATCAGCATTGTGTTAGAAAATCGGCCAGGTAAGGTCTCACATCCCAAGAGAACAGT